GGAGGAGGAAAAAAACTTCAGGGCTTTGAAAACATGACTGCTTAATACAGGGTGGCCACTTTATATGATGCAGCTTAACACAGGTTAAACTGTGTGTAATTTCACTGGAGGTAAACTAGTTTTTGCGATATTTATGATCTCCCCTTGAGAAATGGAGAGAAAAGACCAGATTAAAAATATATTTTACTACTGTTCTCAACTACTCATCTGTTCCCATAATCTTGAAAAAGACTCCCAAATGTAGGTGTTCATTTTCACTTAAGTGAAAATCTGGGTCTTGCAGAGTTGCAGTGTTCAGTTCAGTTTTGTTGGGATATACTATCTAACATGGACTTCAGCTTTCACTCAAATTGTTTCACCTCATCTGTCAGTTGGACTTTATAGTCACGTAGACCTGTTACAAACTCGTCAAAGTTCAGAGAATTGCTGTAGTCATCATCAAAGATTCTAAAAGCTCTGAATAAAAACAAAAAAATGCAATTAAAAAATGAATAGCTCTAATCAAGAAGCAGTTCCCTAATTTTTGTTATGAAGCAAAAATTGCAAAAACAGCACCAAGATAAAGTGAAGATCAGCTAAATCCGTAATGATGCTTGTGATTAACCCTTCTGCTCCTATGATTAAATTAGTAATTTTCCTTACCATCTTTCACACAATTCTTATGATCCAAGTTCAAAGAATTTGGTATTGGATCAATTAATAATTCCATATATTGGATCTTTATCTCAATCCCCATTACTTATCTACTTGATATTGCATTGATATTGCAAAGAGAAATTCTCTCTTGGACACCCATGGGCATTAAAGGGTCAGGGCAGGAGACTGATTTCTTGATGATAAGCAGGATTACAGACCAAATTGGATGACAAAAAAAAAATCTGTTTTACCAATTAGGTAAAAGTATGAGGAAATCTATGGCAAAAATACCAATAAGCCAAACTCACAAGTAAATAACAACTTAAGCAATAACTTTTACTAGAGGAAATTAACTCAGTGATCTTGATCGCAGTCCACACAAATGACATGCACTGTGCAAATAAAACAGGCCTAACATGTAACCTATCCAATTGCAGTGTCCAATCACAAACATAGCATATACACCATCCTATTAGTAATGATAACAATGGTGAGTGAAGTACAATTCAGGGAGCAAGCAATTAATTTCAAATGAACTGAGCACACAGTTCAAGGCCAGTTACATGAGCACAATTACATCTACATTATAGGACACCATGGCCAATTACCAACCAGCTCTGTCAAAAACAAAGTGCCAGAGACCCAGAGAAGAAATATTCCTATGTCAGGACAGCAACAGTCTTTCATGCATCATCCAAAAGTTAGTTTAATATATGTTTTTGTGTTTTCAAGCTGCTCACTAGAGACCTCTTGATTTTGATTGGTAAGCATTAGTCAGGCAGTTAATTTCCATTGGCTGTTTAACTGTCCAATTTTACTTTTTGTACTAAAAAGTACTAGTATATGCACAGAACAACTCACACAGTTTGTTGCTCCAAAAAAGCAACAACTGCCATTAAGAACTGGTCAGTTTTAAACAATTTGTCTACATAACTGTTCAGATCAGGCTGCTGATTACCAAATACACATGACAACTTCTCTCATTTAGGTGTTCGGTGTGGCTGGGTTCTAATGGTACCCTCACTAATTTCTCATCTGTTAATATACTGACATGGGAGATACTTTGGTATGTGGCCCGCAAGGCAGCAGATCTAATTGAGACATTGTTGTTGCTAATTTAACTCTATTCTTTTCACCACAAGGTTTCCTATGCTTATTTCCCATTGGGAAGAATTATTAATACAGCCATCAGAGAATTACTACACTCTTTTGTTGGTGGTAGGTGAGGCGTGATTCTAAGAGAAAAACTATTATCAACACTACATTGATTTTAACGGTTAGGATCAAGGCTGAAGGTTGAACAAGAGTTCAACTTATTGCTTGTTGTAGTTTTACAGCACTGAACACTTGTGATTTGTCCTACCAATAGTGCTAAATAGAGAACCATGCTATGAGCTAAATATATTGGTATACAAACTAACCTTCCAAGTCCTTTAGCTCCACCCGACCCTCTCTTTTTACAAGCATCCCTAATTTTTTGCATTGCAGGAGAAGCATCCATGTCGTGGTTGTGTATCAATGGCTCTGACAAACCTTCCGAAGGAAAAAACCATTCTCATGACGAAGCATTAAAGCATTATACATGAAGTGAACGATTACAAACATCGTTTATCACACAAAGTGTCTGTAAACGACTGGTAAACTACGATGCGAACATTTACTGAACTGCTAACGTTACTTGGTGTCGAAGAGTCTAAACTGCACGTGGACTCGACACAGTGAAGAGCAAATGAAGCATCCAAAGTGCATGGTATAGAGACTAGATACCCTGATTTCAGACATTACTCCTACATAAAACAAAACTGGGTATTTAAACAAACAAAGCGAGCAAATTCAAATGTACCTGCCCAAATGAACTCTTCGATTAAAATTATGGAGATTGGAGAAGCAACTATGACACTCCCTTGCTTGGTAACCAGGCAGAACAAACAGCTGGAACCGCAAGGCATGCAGACATGTCAGGCGTGCAAATATTTACCGCAATAAAATAGAGCGTTACGAATATCGTAACACTTTTCATTACACGACGAAGGCAAAACGCAGGTTACAAAATTATGGAATTCTGCAAGAAACACAAGTGTACATATGTTTCGCTCTTTAACTCAATTTCGGTGGCTTTGAGACCTGTGTTACCGTTCATAAATTGGTCAAATATTATTTTGATTAATAGAATCGTCTGGAAATTAGATATTGATCACGATAAAATCATTCGAGAGGAAGAAAATACATGGTCAGAATAGATGGAACTTAAAATTTTTGACAATCTGGTTAACTGTTATCATCGTAGAAATGACAATCTGTAATTTCGTTATGGATTCGCCATACAACCGAGTCGACTGAAACAGTTCCCTAAGAAATGGAATTCTTTACGACTTCTTAAGAGAACATTTTTTATATTTGGGTTCTCGTACAAATATTCAAAACTGTTTTGAAAGTGATATTAAATTGCCTGAAAAATAAACTGCCATTCTTAAGAAGACTCTATTATCAGTGACTGCGGGAGGATATCTTGTAAAGTGTAAAATTATCTTTAAAATACTATTTTACGTGATAACTTCGCTTTGCAACAAGGAACTACATTTCTTAATTACTCATTATTGTTGATCCTTTCCTGTGAAAGTGAAAATGGAAAATTCTAGCTTTGCGGTTTTGTTGTTTAAGGCGTTTCTACAAAGGATCGCGAAGAAGACGGTACAAAAGCCATCCGTGTAAAACAATTCTACATTCCACTGTAACTGTGTTTTCGAAGGAATGAAACGAAAACTGCGAGACCGATCGAATGAAGAAATATGAAAATACTCTGGCATCATGGTGAGTTTCATTTAATAACTAAGTGTTCATGAATATTTTAAGAAACCCTCCAAATAGCGAGTAAATATTAGTCGAAAAAACAAGTGCTTCTCGAAAAATTCATGATAAATCACTCAAAGCACTTTGACACATTTTCTGGCTTAAGTTTAGGTTTCCCAGGTGAAGCATCAACATAAAGGATAAAAGTAATACAAGGCAAGGACATCAAGTGCTTAAAATAGCCTTAGCGTTACACGTCACGATATTATCACAAAGGAAAGAATAAATATTTTTTTTAATCAGACGCTCATCCTCAAAATTACTTATCACTGAGTGAAGAAACAGCTTGTTTTGGTGACAACGCGTTTCTTTGTCTCATTTCCTCTCAGATACCATTTCTAACGTTATGTCCTGCAGTGTTTCTGGAAAATACCTTGCACTTTTGAAGAGGCTAATATGATGTGTGCTGTTGGCGTGGGTGCGGAGTATTCCAAAAGCAAAATATTTCCCTCCCTTACAACTTGCAAATGAAATTTTTACCACCAAGGTGACAATAATAACCAAGAAACTGTTAGGTAGTGCATCCTTTCTGTTATCAAGCGGCTTTGATTTACGATCTTTACACGAAACGTCGTTGTATCAAAAGAAACCGAACAAACTTTTGCTGTACTCAGTGTGCTAATACAGGAATATGCCTCGCATTTTTGTTCGTACCTTAACTAAGCAAGGCTTATCAGAATTATTCATCAAACTCCATCATGAAAATACTAACACCTACCTCTAAAGAAAAACGCAGTTCTGTGGCGAGGAAACGTCTAGGAGTCTTTAACGACTTTGCTGCAGACGCGCTTGAAAGTGATGTGTAAATCAGCAGAGCCGCGTGTATTTGACCGCGACCAGTAACAAGGCTTCATTTGCAAGCTGATTAGCATGAGTTGGAGACGCCTTGATGCTTTCTTTGTCATTATGGTAATTTTACTCTCAAGTATAGTTTGCGGCTTATAAACAAAGAAATACGCCATGTGTGTTTATTTTCAGACATATTTATATTATGTAAATATCGAAAAAAGTTTTCTTTCAACTGTTTTTCATCAGAATGTTCAAATAACCCCAGTCACATTCTATGCTTTTGCCTCTCTTCAAAAAATTGCAACTCCTGCAACGTTCCAAAACTCGAGTTCGATCGTTTCTTCTTTTTTCCTAACGTTTTAGGATCTCAAGGGAGCATTTTCTCTGAAAGATCATCAACATTCATTAAAGATTATGTAATGAATACTATGCGCAGTCTTACTGCTTGGGAAGCCATGTCTGAACGCCAATTATTTATTTAGTGTTTCCTTTGTGCCTTGATGATACACTAAAATTAATTATTTCTCCTTCGTGTGTAACTGATGGTCGAGCGCTCCTCTTCACCATTCTTTAACAGTGCTGAAGAGGAGCACCTGACCATCAGTAAAACTTCCAATAAAAAGTTAACGCTCGCTGGCATCTCTAGCCCAGATTTCTTGCCAAGCATTAAGCTTGGCAAGAAATCTTGAAAGCCATGTCTTCCCCGTTAAATCACACGTGGGAAATGTTGTTGAAGATGATCTTTATTTTCAATAATGAATACATGTTTTCTAGCGAGGTTGATAGATTCCATATAAAACCACGCGGAATTTCCTCTCTCGATTACTTGTTGCCAAAGCTGAGCGCCAGTCATAACTATGAAAATGAAGTTTGTTTTGAGCTAAACTTTGCTCGTCTAACGCTCAAAGCGATGGGAAGACAACCTAGCATTTCTTCCAAATACTGCCCTGACCAGCTCTGCGCCGAACGGACCGTAAACAAATATCTGGTGGCTGGAATATTCCATCTGAAACAAGATCCGCATTACTGATACAATCATGGTGGGTCCACCGCATAATAGTACTTTGTGCTCCAACACTTGAGGACCTACCAGGTGATTACTGATCATGTCCTTGTCGATATGCCCCTCTCCGCCCTGCCAAGTCTCTTGCCCTGCACCTTTAGAGAGTGTGTAGAACACTCGGAAACGCTCATCACGTGCACTGTGGTCATCTAACTCACTCTTGAACATGAACTCTGACTCAGTTTCCGCGGAGTACAACATGGACACGGAAGTCTGATCTCCAGGGTCTGCCATGATGTCACGCACAATTTGAATACACGGAGTGGCACCTGAACCGCTGGCCACAAGACTAATATGTTTGACTGAATTTGACTCGTACTCAAAACCCCCACAAGGGCCTCGGAACTCCACCAGGTCACCTAAATATCAAAAATGCAAAAATCATGAAGGCAAACCTGAGACAGTGTAAATAAACCCATGGATGATATTTTCTAAACTTTTAACGCTTAGGCTCGAATCAATTAAGCTTTTCACTGAGTCTGGGCTTTTCCATCCTTCCCTTCCACCAACCCCAATACCGGGGGGGGGGGGGGGGGGGGCAAAATAGCGACATGCTTCCCGGCAACCTGAAAACCGACCAGTTATAGGACTTACTATCAAGTGAATATGACTTTTATGAACAATTGGGGCCATGACAGAGTAGTTAGAATCCGCTGGATAACACCATCTTGGATTGACTACGCACTGAAGGAAATGACATATTGTTCTTGAAATAAAATCTTGATTACAGTAAATAACTCTAACTCAGGAGTAGTCTTCAGGGTCCTTAGCGATTCCTCTGATGACTACTGCTCAGACCACACGATTAACCTGGTTCAGGAAGCTCATGACACGTTGCCCAAATAACATTCTAAATTGTTAAGGCAATGATGCATCTCACACAACAGCTCTCTGTTTGAATAATAAGGAGTCGGCTATTTTAACATAGCTTAGCCGATAAATCAAACCTCGTATTTTAAAAAAACCGCCTTCAATTCAGCCGAACGTCTTGTAATAGCCAATACTAGAAAAACCTTTATTCGCCCCATGTAATCT